TCACGAAAACCACGTGAATATCCGTTTGTTCATTATTTGTCTGTGGACCGATTTATCAGCTGCTAGTACGGAAAATACTGCCGCTGCGCACTTCTCTGAAGCAAAGGCGCATATTCAGATCTAGACTCATTTTTATATCCCGGTATTTTCTTAGGGCTGCGAAAAACTCAACTTGAACAAGCTTTGTAATGACAACGGTCTTCCAACTGGCGAGAAACCTCTGCGGGTCGAATCTAGTGTGAAAATCCCATATGCCCACACTTTCAAAGCACCTGTTATATGCCAATACACTTGAACCACCTGATCGAGGTATAAGCTTTAGCTGATGACCATGCAATTTTGCGAAAAGTTTCGCGTGCGAGTCTCTGCTCGAATACACGAACTTTCAAAAAATATAAAAGAGGGTAGAATGAGGCAGTATCACCGGTTAAGAGTAAAACAACTAGTATCTATATGCGATACTGCGACACGTGTGAATTAGCGTTGGCCTTACGTTTATTCCTTGAATAACGTCGCATTGCAACAACATATCAGAAATAACGAGAATTTAAGAGATCACAGAATCAGACAAGGCAAATTTAATGCAAAAAAAGTTGCAGACTGAAAGTCCCGTAGTAAAGTGAATTTATTACGTTTCCGTTTACGTTTCCGTTCTATGACAACAGACATCTGGACAGTTTCCAAGGATATGTTCGTTCAAATGTAAACTAGTCTTTGCGTACGTTCAGCTCTGCGTTGCCATCGGGCTTGCTTGGAAAGCGTTTCGACGAATACAACAGCACGTAAGCGCTGTGCCAGTCACCGCCTCCGGACAGCCTCAGGATTTCCTCCTTCTGAACCGGGTGTACCTTATCGTCGTCACAGCTGTACCACGTGTTGTTCGGCTGGCGAATCCACGCAACGTAATGACCACTATTACTGCTTCGACCCTTGTGCGTCAGAACGGCTTGCAGTTCGTACAACCCGCTGTCATTCGATCCGATGTCGTCGGCGTCTTTCATGTTCTCTGTGACTGGATTTTCCTACGAACAAACTTATTGTGACAAAGATATGGCAATCAATATAGCTTAAAACAAAATCAAATATGCGAATGTACTAAAAGCATACATTAAGCGAAAAGTTAATTCGAGGAAAAGTGTCTGAGCAAAGTCCAATGGAAGAAATGCTTTTCACAACCTGCAAAGTTTCAGTTTGTCAGTGACCGGAAAAAATCTTATCAGCACGTGAACTCACCACTTTTCTTGTACAGACGACGATGCACAATATTATAAAAGATTTCCAATCACGGTTCAAGTCGACAAAAACGTCCGACTGCCCACATGGGAGCATGTGTAACTCATCCTCAGTTCATTTTTTCAGAACCTCTGGGTTGGCAACGCTACATAATCACCTGTGATGATGGTTTTTCAAAATTTT